TTGGAGCTGAATGTCTGCTGCTGTTTGTGCAAAGAGAAAATAGTGCAGCGGCTGCCGGCAGTGTTCACAGCACTTCTCTGCAGCGTCTTCAATGGATGTGGTGCATGCTGCCCTTGCACGTACCATGTATGCTCTGCATGTCGTAGCTCACAGTTCCAGAGCGGCTGTGGCCTGCAGTCTGCCTCCAGTCTGCATGCTTGTTGTGTCCGCAGCTGTTCGTGTGAGTGTGTAGTGTGTGTTTTTGCAGCAAATCCCGTGTTTAAACGAGGCCACCGTAAACAGCATCATACGGCACCATTCTGGACGTTCCAAGATCGTCGTCACAGGTACCACTGGGCTTCATGGTGGCTGGTACAGCTGGCTTGGCTGAGCCCGTGGTTGCAGTGCTCTTACATGACCTTCTTTACTGTGGCACTCCAAACACATTTGTATTCATATGTTGTGATTTAAAAAAAAAAAATGTTTTAAGACCAAAAGTGAAGCAAAAAATGTTGGCTGCACAAACTCAGAGAGCACTGCGCTCTGAATCTATCAGTGTGAAGATTCTCAGGAAGTCTGGAGATTGCATCCGTAACAAACTCTGTTTGGAAGGCAAGGCTTTTAAAGGTGTTTGCTTGTTGTCTTGCAAATAGACCAGAAAGAAAGCATGAATTCAGACATTGACCATTGAAGCATGAAACTGTCACTCAGCAGAGACAGACGCCCAGGAGCTACACAGCTAAAACAGAACACAGGAAGTTGGTGTCCATTAGAGAATCCTGGTACTGATCCTAGCTAACAGGTCACCAAAGTAGGCACAGGTCAGTCTCAAGTACCTGGAAGAAGCAGGAAAGTTAATCATGCATGTTGTGATGTTTTCCAGCATATCTTAAAGAGTAAACTGGCCTCATTCAGAAATAATTCTCCCAAAGGAATATCTTCTGAAGTCCCAGTGATGCTGTTTCTAAAAAGGATTATTGTCTTAATTGACACTGAACCATAAGAGGAAAAGGACAAATATATCAGTGAATGAGGCTGAATTCCAGGGTCGAGTTTAACTAACCAGATGAAAGAAAACAGCAACATTTGTGCAAGTAAATGATCTTTTGGTCTGAAGACATGTAAGGGACTATCTCGACGAAGAGAGATTTAAGTGAGCTTGTTTGGAGTGACACATGTCAGAAGGTGTCTCATGTCTCTCTGTCTTCTGTGGTTTGCGGTAGACAAGCAGAACATGAGTTAGTATTCTCATCTTGTGTCACTTTTTATTCCACAAACCGTGTCCCTACTGAGGAACTTTTCCTGCAGGTAGAGGAGCCGTTCTCTCACTTGTGTCATTAACACATTTTTCGCTGGCGTCTTAAAACCTGATTGTCATATTTCATGCGATGAGGTGACACAGATGAGATGAGCTCCTAACTCATGGCCCTGTCCTCTCTGTCATCACTCTGGCTTGGCTGCAATACATCCTGGGAAGAGGGGGAGGGGGGGGGGGGGCTGAAACCAGAGCACCACCCCTACGTATCTGAGCTCTCCTTACCTTTCACGCTTAGAGACGTAGAGAACGCATGGCAACACCCCCCCCCCCCTTGCTCTCTTTACATCCATTAACTTTGGAAAAAGTCGTTTTGATTAATTCCTCTCACACTGAGGTCAGAGCTATTATCACGAGCAGAGATACGTGTGAGAGGAACGGGACGGCTCTGGTTGTCACAAAAGACTTCTATTCTGGAGCCACTTGAGTGAGTGGCTAATTTAATCCAGCGACTAAGTCAGTCAGCTGGTTCATGTTATTAAAGGCTGGCACTTATCATTGCATCTGCACACCTGGACGTCAGGCCTCTTTCAAGGATCATAAATCACCTGAGCTGTTAGGTGACAGTGTGACGGTATACAAATCCTCCACTCAGTATGTGTGTGAGTCTTAATGCTACACTAAAGGAAATCTTTTTGTAACATGACAGAGAATTTCATTGGCTACTTCAAAATACTCACCTCAGCTCTGAAGAAAGTCCAAGATCGAGTCTGCAACAATTACATTTGTCTTAACAGCCCGATATGTTCTGATAAGAATAACCTCAAACAAGACAACTATACAAAGAAGAAATAAAAAAAGAATACCGGTAGGTCAAAAAATCTAAACTAATTGCAACTGAGGCTTAAGGGCCTCTCAGATAGGATCAGTGGGCGCTGCACAGCGCTGTCAAACCAGTTCATTGTCTATGTGTTGCCCCGCACAAGAGCGTATCTGCACCCTGTGACATCACCTCTGTGCGTCCAATAGGAGGGAAGATCACAACAAAAGAAAAACCTGCCTTGAAATGACTCCCTCACAACCCGCAGGATATTTAAACATGGTGTGATTTGTGTTTATCCTTAATTACCGCTGTCGCGCAGGAAGTGAAGATTCTTTTGACCAATCAAAGGACTGCAGTATGTCTGACTCCATCCTTTAGGGCCACATCTGTATGCTAGGCACGCCAACAGAAGGGTACCAGAAAAGTAGGACAGCACAGATCAGTTATTTTGGTACCCTTCCCAACTTTTGAGACTGGAAACGCCCATAAATGTGTACTGTACCGTACCAAACAGAACTGAACCGGACCGCTTGGTAGAAATGGGGCTTAGTAAAGACACATACTGAACAAAACCTCCTGATAATAAATGTAGTGTTACACATTAGACGTTTGTACAGCAGAGTACATAAACAGCATGACACAGTGTGTCAAAGTTTGAAATCAGACAAAAATCACCACAAAGAGGTTTCAGGCTGCAGCAGAGATCTCCACTCTGAACAACAACAACAAGATCCTACAGACTCTGTGTGCTCTCTTTGTTGTGCTTGTCTGTTAGGTGTGTGTTATGTTGTGTTCTCATGGTGCAATAGATAGGGATGGGGATTGTTCATTTTTATTGGTAATGAAAGCATCAACAAGACTCCCTGACGATTCGAGTCCTTATCGATACTTTTCTTTTATATTTATTCAGATTTAAAGATTCAAGCCTTCACTATTAGGACAGTGGATATAGCTTGAAGCAGGCGATAAGAGAGTGAGGAAGACGTGCAGGATAAGAGTTGCAGGTCGGAGTCGAACCCTGGCCGCACTCTAGGTGGACGATAGCCATGTACATGAGACGAACCATACAACCGCTAGGCCATCCTGCGCCTGCAGAGACAATATTTGAGACAGAATTTGGACATTTCTCCTCCAAACAACTTTTTATTAAACAAGTTTCTCAACAAAACCTTAATTTTCAGTTTCTTGTAGCTACCTTTAAACACAACATGATGACGTTTTATTTACCGTGTTTAAAAGTCATTTCACTGACCTCGTTTGAAAGCTAGCTAGCTTTTATTTAAATACGGATTTCAACGTTGGATTACTGTTTCTACCTCAGAAAGTTTGGACGTTGAGATAAAACGTTACATTGCAGGATTCAGCGTGACTCTTAACAGTATCTGTACTTTGAGCTCAAACGTTATTATTTGTTAATGCTCTGGAAAATGTGGAGCTGGATCGCTATGAAAGCTAGTTTTGATCCCCATCCCTTGCCGTGGACGTAGTGAGTAGTCAGCGTAGATCAGATGATCCCAGGCTGCTGTTTTAGTTTTAGACAAGTGAAACATTGTGATCCTTTCTCAATTAGGAATACAAACTCCCACGAGCACTCCTATTACACCTGACTCCACTGATTTCATCAAATCAGAAAGTAGTTTGTGTTTTTTGTTTTCTTCAAACTGCAAAGTACATTTTCATGAAGTTGATTAAAGACGTCCTCATTTTTGAAATGTAGAGGCCAGTCCATATAACCACCGCTCCCCCACGTTCAATGTCCGTAGATCTCGTTGTTCTTATTCTTTTTTATGTCCACAGCAGCGTGTGATCCTCAGAGACGCCGGTCTGTGCAGGATCTGCCCGGCATCGGCACAGAGTCCAGCCATGTAAGAAACACACAAACACATACACCTATCGACACACGCACACTTATAGACACATACACACCAGCTGCACATTTGTTATTTTGGTCCTTTTTTTCAGACTACAGATTGTCACGTTCTGTGCTCCATTTGAAGAAGACACATCTGTGCTAAAGAGGGTTGTCATTTTTAGTTACATTAATGACATAAGTTCAGTCCCTCTGAAGTTTATTTATTTCTATGTCTTATAAATCTCTACAGATTTATCTCCTGTCACAAATGAAAAGAATCCATTTAAGAACCGGACATTATTACTGTCTGCTTAAAGAGACTAGATGAACCCCTAGGATTCAAAGCTTCTGTGTGTTTTCTTCTTTAATGTGAGGTTAATGATGCATCCATTATCATTCATAAACAAAACAAACTCAAAGAGAGATCAAAGAGATCAAAGATCATTTCAAATGAAAACTTGAACTCCACGCGACCCCGGCCAGCTTTTTTTTTTTTCTCCTGCTCTCTGATTGTAAAACATGTTTTTACTCGCGTCTTTGAAGCCTCACCAATGTTTGACTGACGCCGTCTGTTTTCAGACACATTTGATGCATTCTTCGTCAGGAGCGAGAAAATCCACAGAGAGAAGATGTCACAGACTGAGACGTGTGTTTGATATGTCAGCTCTGAGAAGATATGAGTGTTGGACCAGATTCACACTCTCTCTCTCTCTCTCCTCAAACTGACAGAGCTTCAAACCGTGTTCTGAGCTCTCGACGTTTCTGCTGCTCTCCACAAACACTCATAACCCTGCAGTTCATTTAAAGTTCAGCATAAAGACTGAACACAAATACAGCTTTTAAAGAAGACACATAGATCTGTGAGATCCGCCTGTCCTCCAGGTCCACAGAGCTGTGACACAGACACTCATTGATCATGGAGGGTTTGATTCCCACAGTGGGAATGTTACCAACATCAAGTATTAACTCCAGATTCAGTTGTATGTGTGGGTAAATTCCTGCATACAGAACAAGAGACTTAGGATACATTTCTTCAGGATGGGGGGGGGTACATTTAGACAGTCTGCAGGAGTTTTCTGTTTTTCTGATGGGTTCATTCTTCTCATTCTCACTCCGTCTTGTGAAATAAGTGTGGTTTTTAAAAGTTTTGCTTCATTTTGATTCTATCTATCCTAGAAATAACTAGGGATTTTCTCAGACTGACTGAAATTTAAATTCCCTTTAGGCGACTATTTCAAAGGTGCCAGGTAAACGATGTAATTTGGTTTGCTGAGTGTTGCTAACGTTAGCAGCGTTAGCACTGCCAGCCTTCAGCTCTCCCTGCAGGTTAACATCCACATGCCCGTGATAAATGTTGTTACACATCGCTCCGGTCCATTTGATAGTTTCACCTGACACAGCGTCGCAAGTTTATTACAACTTTATCTCCATATAGGTCAAAATACTGACAAAACCCATTAACCAAAAGGCTACAGCCAGTCTGTGGCTACAGCTCCATCTAGAGGCTGGAGGCTGCAGTGCAGATTTACTATTTTGACATTTGACCAGCAGCGAAGGCCCAAAAATTGAGAATTTGTTTAATCGACTTGTGATTCTGGTGCCAAATAGCAGTGGTGACGTTTAACCGTGTAATCGACTGAATGCACACATACCTGAAAGTAACAGAGATTATATCGTTCTAAAACAAGTGGTATTGAAAAAGTTTCAAAAATGTGTACAATTTTATATCGCATAGAAACGATTTTAATTTTTGTCATAATCTTCTTTTTAAGCTTAGAAAATCAGAAATATCAGCAGTAAAAAAAATAGATGTTATGTGTTAAATATATATAGTTCCAACATGAGGAGATCTCTATAGCTGCCTTATTTTGATTTAGTCATGATTATTTAAAATTTTGCCTCTCCAGCTTTTATAATCTCATCTGGCTCGCCTGTTTATTCACCATGTTTTGCTGTTTTCTTTCAGGGGAGCAGAAACAGCAGCCGGTCCTCCAGTCCCAGCATGAGGATGATGCCCAGCGACAAGACGGGCAGCAGGAGTTACTTCTCCCCCGATGACCCCACAGGTACCAACGTCAGCTGGAACACAACCACAGAGACAAAAACTCTGCAAGCACCTTCAAAGGAGTGTCAGCTCTTCACCTGGGCAGTAGAAATAGTCTGCCAGGACCCACTTTAGTAAATCTGCAGATTGTTAAGTCGTTTCTAGGGGTTTTTTAAAAATACTTCATATCCCTAGAATCTGAACAATGTTAGCTAAAATGTTCTTCAAGTCAAAAACCATAAACATTGATAAAAGAGTTAGTTTCTGCAACAAAAAAATTGAGGATAAATGATCATCAGCATTTGTTTTTATATGACGAGGACGAGACCTCAACGAGCCAAAAATAGATTGTTGCTGTTAAAAATTCTGACTACATCTTTATTAAGTTTTCATCAACAAGACAAGACGGGACTAACATGTCAGTGTTGTTCTGTCGGACATTCAAGGTGTATATTTCCCCCACTGTGCGTCTGATCTGTGAAAATACAAACAGGAGAGAGGAGAGGTGTGTGTGCTGCAGGAGGAGTGTGGAGCAGAATGACGGAGAGAGCCAGAGCTGGCACGATAACTTTAGGTCACTTTAGTAACCTGGGTTCTCTGAGTAGCATGAGTGGGCTGTCTCAAGCTTACAGTTAGCTTGCGTTAGCAGTGAGTGACTACAGTTTGTATGGTACCATAATAATATCTGTCACCCCAAATGTAACATTACGTCTTCATTATGTCAATTCAAAAATTATATTTTTTTATTTGAATGTAATGATTCTAAAACGTTCAGAGTTCAGCTTTCAATTTCTGATGCAAGAACAATGAACACTACAATTAAAACAGATTTGATTTCAAACAGTCCAAACAGTATTATAGCTGTAATACCCCCCCCTCCCCAAGGTTAAACAGGGTTACATTATGTCTTTAACAGAATCAGCATCATTGTGGTCACTAGTTCTTAATGATGTCAGACTACACTGGGACTGTGTCAATCAGCAATCAGGGTTTTGTTGTTGGTCTGTTGTCAGCTGAAGCAGACCTGCTGGTTTATAATCACACATGTTAAATAAAGTCCTTCTTGTTCTTTCTTTGTGCTCTTCTGTCAGACACCAACGGCTCAGACAACTCAATTCCCATGGCTTATCTGACCCTGGACCACCAGCTGCAGGTACGTCAGCCAATCACACAACAGGACATACACTTGCGATAGTGTTTGTTTGAACCGTTAGCCTGAAAACATTTAGCTACATCAAGATGTTTGTGTGTACTCTCCTGATCCTGAACTCTTCCTTATTTCCAGCCTCTCGCTCCCTGTCCAAACTCCAAAGAGTCCATGGCGGTGTTCGAGCAGCACTGTAAGATGGCCCAAGAATACCTGAAGGTGCAAACCGAGATCGCCCTGCTCATCCAGAGGAAGTAAGTCCAGCTGCCCAGAGCAAAGATTTCATCTGCTGGTGCCCGTTTAAGGGGGTTCAAGAAGCTTTCTTTGTTTAAAAATCTAATGCATGTTTAGACACGAGTAGAATGAACACTGAGGGGACTTCTGCTCATCTCATTTTTATAGTTCATCGAAGAATCAGCCTCACAGAATCAGCATCTGTTGCTTTGGGGTTGTTAGTTAAAACATCCCTGATTTGGCAAACAAACTTGAGTCCGTTGCCAAGTTAGTGCAGTGTGAAAGCTGTCAATCAAACCCTGGTGTGAACCAAACAACAATCCAAGACAGCTTGAGGAGGTGGATCTTTATCTGCTTTTTTTTTCCGGTTTTATAGTAAGAACATGAACCGACCTCGATATGACCTAACTGCAGGAAGCAGCCACCTCTCTGTTCATCATTGTTGAACGTGTTTCAAAGACCACAGACATAATAAACAATCCAAAAAGACAAGCTCATACCTCAGTGGGCGCTGGATCCAAAACTAACAGGCATACAAATGTTAAAGGGTCAGCACACCAAGAAGACCCTGTTGAAGGATTTATTTAGCAACATATGACATTTCAGAGCCAACGTGCTCTACCTCAGACCTGCAACGTTTTCTGTGAGTCACCATCTTAAATATACAAACACGTGACCCAACACTACTGAAATCCATTATTTTAATTCATTAATTAGGAACCAAAACATAAAAAATATACAAATAATATCATGTAAAAATTAGTAGTCAAATGATCAGAATTAATCGTGATTAATTGTGTTTAATCGCGTTTGAAATTTCAATATCTCGCATTTGAAAAAGGAGATAGTTATACGCAGATCACGTAGATGTAGGGCAGTGCAAAAACAGCAAACTCAGGAAGAAGGTAGGCCCGCACAATTGCTCAAATGCCACAAAAAAGGGTTTTTATTTCGACCAGAGGTCTTTATCACCTGAAGAAGACATCTGGTTTATTGCTTTTATTTTGAAATAAAGTAAGGCCCTTCTGGTAGATGGAAGGTGATGACATTAACTTAAACACGGATAAAGGAACTCTTTCCAGTGACTGTGACTACACAGGGACATTTTCATTTAGGAAGCGTATCTATGGTGAGCCTAGAGGGACAAAAAAAGCATACTATTAATTAATAAAAGAAATAAAAAAAATGAATTCATTAACTTCAGACCTTAATTTAATTTCAATTATTTAGTGAATGCTGACAGCCCTAACAAAATGATATTATACATAGAAATATCCTCAGACATACAGAGAACATTAAATGTTGATATACCTTCAGATACATAACTGACACAACTGTGATAAATACCATCGCTTTAACAAACCACAGGAATACTATGTACAAACATGTTAGACCACAGGCTTACTAGACGGGTCTTCAGCTTAAAGCCACAGATATAAAAACTAAAGACCAGAGCGATCATCATTCGTACAGTTGTTCGTCCATTTAGAAATTGTTAAAATGTCTTTGGAGCTGCGACAGCCCGGCATGAGTCGACTTGTTTTTGTTTCCTTCTGGGATTTTATCTCCCAGGAAATTCAGATTTTGGGTAAATATCCTCATGTTAACACAGACCAAACTTAAGGTAATTATGCAACAATAAAACAAATTGGTCCATGATGATCCAGAGCAAACAACATATCAGTTGTGTGAATGTCTTTGGAGTCGTTTTTCTGGAGAAGTTCTTTATCCAAAAGTGTTGCTTGTGTGCTTATTGGTTATATATGCTGAAAATCTGTAAAATCTGAGGATTAAAGTTTCCTCCTGCTTCTGCTGTGCAGGAAGGAGCTGATTGCTGAGCTGGACCAGGACGAGAAGGACCAGCAGAACACGTCCCGTCTGGTTCAGGAGCACAAGAAGCTGCTGGAGGAGAACAAGAGTCTGTCCACGTACTACCAGAAGTGCAAAAAACAGCTGGAGCTGATCCGGGTGCAGCAACAGAAGAGACAGGGGACGTCCTGATGAGACGGAGACATTAGAACTCTTACCATCACCCCCCTCTGTCCTCCCCCCCCCCGGCTCTATAACACTACCCCCGCCCCTCACAACACACACACACACACACACACACACACACACACACACACACACACACACACACACACACACACACACACACACACACACACACACACACACACACACACACACACACTCTTTGACCCAGCTTTGTAAAGAGACCTGCACTCTACTGTGTCCTGCATGTCCCACCGTAGACCCTCACGTCTGTCCTGCAGGAAGACGATGTCCTCTGAACATTTGCACATTGTCACATTGACCGCAGACCAAACAATCAGTGCACCCCCCCCTCATTACCCCGGACCCTGCTGCTGTGCCCCAGGACGGACCCTCGAGCAATGAGTGTGTGATTTCTTCAGTTAGCTCAGTGTGTGTCTTCTCCTCGGCTCTCACACACACACGCACACACACACACACACACACACACACCGTCCTCCAGAATGTGAAAAAGGCGTCTCAGCGAACAGTGTGAATTTTGTGCAGACTTCTGAGAGCAGTGAGGATGTCGGAAACGTTTTCTAAAGCGTGTGTGAGGAGTACCCGATATGCAAAACAAAGACACACCCCCTTGAATTGACATATTTATCTCCAACTTTGTTGTTTTTTTTTTTAATTGTGAGCATGAGACGCGTTTCTTTCAGGTGTTCGATAAACTCAGTTCAGGCAGGGATGTACTTTGTGTCGGACATCGGAGAAAAGAGAACAACTCGGGGTTTGAGTAAACCAGGATGCAGCGTTAGAGTGGAACTCCTGAGATTTTAAACCCTGGGCCCTTTCTTGACTTATCACAGGGTCTAAATGACTTTTACTCTCAAAAACATTATTGAATTTCTCCAGTCTGTTGCCGTGACGGTCTGTAATGACTGCGACCTAACCTTTGTGGTGAAATGCCTCAGGTTAAGTCCACTATAAGTTCTTGTTCTGGTCCCTGACAGGCTCAGATTGTGAAAGGATCCCCACAGAGACAGACCTTTTTCTTACAGAGGAAAGAGATTTCTTAAAACAGAAAACAGAAATTCTCGTTGGGGTGGCCAAACTGAGGCACTGACTTCTGCAGGGGTTGCCAACACACAGATTAATATCAATGATTTACCCTTTCTAATCTCAACAATCATATTCATACAAAAGATAATAATTTATTAATGACACAAAACAAGACAAGTGTTCAAATCCACTATTTAAAGTAGTTTAAAAATGCATGGAAAGCTCCTGCACACTGTCTAACTTTAAAAAATACATGAACTGGCAACGTGTTGCCCCAAACAAATAGCCAATCACAGTTAAGGATTTTTGGGGTGGCAAATCAGATTTCAAGGTTGTCTCATGCCACTCCTCTGGATACGCCCCTCTCTGTGTTTTGTTGAATCGATATCGGAGCATATTGATCAGCATGGACTTGATATTGAATTGAATCATGACCCTAAGAATCACATTTATTTGTGAGGTTCTGGAAAAAGTCCCAGCTTAAGTGGAGAGGATCATGTCGCAGCCATCACAGCCTGTTGTAGGACTGCTGGCTGGAGCAGTTCCAAACTTTTATGTCCCTTTTAGTCATTTAGACCCTGAAGATGAGTCAAAAGACCCCAAAGATGAGTATTCTGCTCCTGTTGCTCTTCAAAAGAGAAACTGTGTTCCAGAGCGTTTGCAGAGGGCTGTGGATTCCCTTTTATTTTGACTCCAGTATTGTTTTAGCGTGTCGATGATTTTTTTTTGTCTTTTCTATTCTGTAGTTCTCTTTGTATGATAGCTCTGGTGTCATTTCTGCATTAGGACTTCTCTTCTCTGGTGTGGGTCCGCCCTCACGGACATCATGGAGGAGCCTGCAGCTCCATGTTGGGTATCTATAGTTTGTTTTTAGTTCACATGTTGCCTTAGGAGTTGCCTGCATTTTAAGTGCGTGTTTTCTGTGACATTTAGTGGGGATAAAAGCTAAAAAGACAAAAAGAAGATATTTTTAATGTTGAATGAACTTCTCTTGAGGGGGAGCGGGAAGGATGTATGCTGAAAATGTAAATGTTTTCCCACCAGCTCTACATCCAAAATGTACTCTGAAAGAAGGATTGGATGTCATGTTTATTTTTCTCTCTCGCTCTCATATCCCTCGAGTATTTTTGCACAATCACTTTAGTTTCGTCTGGTTCATGTTTCAGATTTAATTTCTTTAATTTTAGTAATTGTGTTTTTAAAAGTTCAAAGACTTAACGAGTCTGGCTTTTAAATCTGTTACTGTACAGGAGTGACTCAGCGGTTCTCCTCATGAGTTTGTGTTGACAAAGAGTCAACACAAACACACAGACACACAAATGCTGTTTATGAGTGTTTCCTCAGTGAAAGGGAACCCAGGTAGGCCTACAGTATATGACAGTGAGCAAGGCATTATGAAATAAACTGAATGGTGAAAAGATGCTTTTTTTTATTGGTGAATTTTTCTATTGGATGTATTTAAGGTATAATTGAGCCTGATTTGAAACATTTTTAGAGATAGTTATCCTCTTACACTTACTGTATCTTTGTCTTTATTCTTTCACAGAGGCAGAGTTTATTAAATAATCCAGTTTAATAGAAATCAAAGTCCTTCAAATCGTGGGGCATATTAAATTGTATCAGATGGGAAGGAGCCTGGCAACAAGAGATTTTGTCTGTCCTAGTAACGGTTACTAAGGAGTGCTGGGCTTGACAAAGGGTCAATTGTACCAGTTCTTCTCTTAGATTTATTTTGGGGTTTTTGGCGTGCCTTTTTTAGAGACAGAACAGTGTACAGAGTCAGAAACTGGGAGAGAGAGAGGGGAACGGCAAGCAGGAAATGAGCCACAGGTCTGATTCAAAACTTGGGACGCCCACTCTCAAAGACTCTGTTCATAGGGCCGGCACTTTAACGGCTAGGGTACCGGCGCCCTGAGTTTTTTAATATAGAAAAATGTGATCTTTTTCACTCTGTTTTCCCTGTGTCCTGATTTATTTATCTTGTTTTCTCGGGATAACAACACACAATATTCTTAGGATATTCACTGGTTTTCCCGTGAATTATGGGTGAGTTTCAGTCGTCATCTCTAGATCTTCAGAAATTAACTCAGCATCCTGAGATAATGAGATAAATAAGTCGAGATTTTGAGAAAGCAACAAAAATGTACTTGTCATCCTGTGAAAAAAGGAGTAATAGGGCTTCTGTAGCGCTCGCCAGATGTACAATTTCAGAATAAAGCTATCACTGAAACAGCTTGAGCCCAACTTCTGGAAAATTGACACATTCGTCAATGTCACGTCTCCCCCACCGACCAATCAGAATCAAGAAGGAGCCGGACTTCTGTTATCAGATATACGTCATCATGGCAATAAATAGTTTAATTTAGGTAATAATTTATTACATATTGATATGTAACACTGAACATATGACGATATAGGACGCTTCTTGTATTGAGATAAATGACTAAATGAAGGAGACTCGAGATTTGAATGTTCCTCTTATGGTCGACAAATCTCAAAGCATGAGTCTCATGACAAATGCTTCATTTCATTCTTAATTTTCTAAAATGGCTAAACCAATCCTTCAAACTGGAGTAAATCAGTCTTTTGTCTGGGACTATTTTTAGTAGTGGATGAATACAGATTTGCATTTCCTTTCTTTTCTCGATATTTCTTTGAATAAAAGTAAATATTAAGCACAAAGAGCTATCTAAACTATAACGATCATTGGCGAGGGAAGTGGAAGTTAACTTTCGTAACCTAGCAACTAATAGCGGCAGGGAGAAGTGTTCGGAAACTGAGGACTTGTTTCTTCTTTGGCCTCTTTATTGCTCTGAAAGGAAAAGGGCACACAGCTCCCGGATCTCAAACTAGGCAAAGGTTCATACGGGATTAAAAGGTCTTCAAATATAATCTGGACTCAGGTCATGCAGAGATTTAAAGGTAATCAATGAGGATTTTTATAATCAGTCTTTAAACCAACAGAGCCGATGTCGAGAGGCTTAAACAGGAGAGATATGATCGCACCTTTCTGCTCTGGTTCTGTTGAGTCTGTAATCGTTGTAATAATGTTTGATAGAAAGAAGCATCGCTGCAGTGGTTCAGACACAATGAGAAACAAATACAAACATGTTTCTGCATCTTTAAACTTTAAAATGTATCTTATTTCTACGTTAAAATCTATTTCAAAGTTACCTTTGAACCTGAGTTAGTCTACAGAGAACATGACAGAGAACATTTTAGCAGGTTTAATGTCTCAAAGGTCACATATTCAAAATCCACTTCACCATGTTTTTCTAACACTAATGTGTGTCTCTAGTCTGTCTACAAACCCCCCAAATTATGAGAAAAGTCCATCCTCTCTGTCTTTTACCTGCTCCACTTTTCAGAAAATGTGTGCTCAAACAGGCCATTTGGAGATTTTCCCTTCATGACATCAGGCCTACAGCGATATGTAACTCTGAGACCAAGCGTTTAAAATGTGTACTGCAGTCCAAATTTGAAATATCGGAGAGAGCTGTCTGCCCCTCCTCTCTAGAGTCAATGCTCAGGCAGGTTGCCATGTGGTGGACACTGAAGCTTCAGTGTTTATCCAGCTCTGCATGGGTCTGTAAACCTTTCTGTGTTCTAACCTCTCTCCATTTTTCAAAAGCATCTCCAATATTGATCCTAGTTTGAGACGTTTCTGCTCGTGGAGCTTATTAGAAACATGCAGAGGCTTTTAGGTCGGGTACAATCACTTCTATCTGAACACTTCTCTTGACCGCTTCCATCACTGCAACACCTGTTGACCTGATAACTGCTCTCATATCTGACAAACTGAGGGGCGTCCAAAATGGCCGTGTGGGGGGGTCTTAAAACTGTCTACCCAAACAAATCCAGAGCATTCAGGAGCAGAATCTAAAGTTAGAAGGAGGACATACTGGCTGCTGCATTGTTGTCAGAGAAGCCAGCACTTCAACACAGCATGTTTCCTTAATGCTGATGGTGTAGTAAGGTCAGTTCATCATTTAATCAAATAGATATCTTACTGA